CTGCGTAGCTCAGGGGTTTAGGTCTCTGGCTGCGAAGCTAACGGTTAGAAGTTTGATCCCCCCACTGGGGCTCCCTGACAGGGGATAGACTTGATGACTCAGAGGGTCCCCTCCCAGCTCCGCAGCCTTGAGATAATGATTTGTTGTCTGGCTGAACACACCAAACGTGTTTGCAAGTTCCAACGTGTGACCAGAAAGAAACCTCCGGGCTGTTATTAACAAAGCATCTGGATCTCTGGATAGCTGAGCGGTTGAAGAAGGAAAGCCAACCAAGTTCCTCTGACATATACAGATGGGACTTTTGAATATAGATCCCATTTATGTGTTTAGCTCTGCACCAGAAGCGAACCGTTACACTATATTATGCACTCCAAAGGTTACGTTTTCTCACTCACGTCAACCCCACTGCCTTCTGTGATATGCAACCCACACCACCACTTACCACCCAGCATGCGTGCAGCCACCTCCAGCGTAGTGAGGTCACTGATCCCACACTGTCCAATGACCGCATCGTCTTCCAGCGGAGTCCCGCCCAAGAGAATCACCTGATCCTCGGGCGCCAGGCCCTCCAAAGATTCAATGTGAGCCTGGCAGAGAAAGGCGACCGTTAGACCCGTCTAGGGGTTTTGCGACAGCCAACGCATCACAACAGTGCCGGCTTGGCAAAAAGCGGCACGTGGGCTGACGCACCCACAAAACAGACCTCCGACGTTTCTCATTCACCTCTTTCTGCTCCTCTAAGGGGAGAATGAAAGGGCTCTAGAGCTACATCTTATGCCCAAACGTAGGGAATGAAATACCAATCGCTGAAACCTTTAAGAAAAAAGCGACAGAGATAGGGGCCAGGGTGCGAATTACTCTTCTGCTCATTGCTCCTCCTGAAGAGCTAGGCAAGGCAACAGATTTTTCTTTTGAACCACACAGGAGAAAGGGCCAGGCTGAGTTGATTTTTCCATAAAACCCAACCCTCCCTCCTCTCTACCTCTAGCTGCTTTTTCTTATTGGCCACCAGATTACATACATTTGTTGTTACATACATTTATATGGATCACACGCTTTATTGATCAACTTGCTTCTTAAGGCTACAATTCTCCAACAGAACCTGGGGAGACTGGAGGCAGTCTCCCCATCCTGGAAGTGCCCAACTCACTGAGTTGTACGCTCTCAGATTCTACCTCTGACTCTGCTTTATTATCACTCTGTAAGGGACATAAAAGGCAGCATCCTTCGGTTCAAAGCACCTTCACCTCTCCTTTCTTTTAGCTGCAGGTGGCAGAAGCCTCGGCTGGTAGAACAGAAGGACGGGAACTCTCACTGCCTCAATCCAAACCATTCTAAAAAATGTGGTTGCCAGAAGTCAAGAGTGTGTTGTGTGAACTAATTTAACAAGGCTACAGAAATTCTAGGCTTTTCAGGAAACTGGCAAAGGCTTTTGGGGGTTAAACAGAGAAACAAGGGCCTTGATCTTACAGAAAACGGTGGGAGTTCTCTGCTGCCCCAGCAACAAGAAATCAGCAAAACAGGAGGTTTAATGCAACTACTTAAATTTCCCTTACCTTCAGGTGAGCAACTGTTTCTTCCCCTGACACCTCGAGGGTGTGCAGGTTCTGAGCACGAAGAAAGAGCTGCATCGTTCCACTTGCGTTCCTGGCCGGAAAGAAGAGAGAAGCAATCAAATGACAGCTTTAGTAAGCTTTCCTCCAGTGCAAGAGCAGAAGGGGGGCACTGGGTGGCCCCCCACTATCTTGACCCTGCACACCCTTCCCGAAAGGGGTTCAACCGTCTCCCCCTCCCACCAGTTGCCTTTAGATGGCATTTTTTTTAAAACAGAGTACAGCTGGGAAATGGAACTGCTGTTCCTAAACTCTTCTGTCCAGCCAGAAATGGTCTGAACAGTTCTTAAAGTTGAGACTCGCACAAGGAACCTGCCGTGGATTCTTCCCAAAATGGGGCAGAGAACAAAGTCCACCAAAGATATGCCATCCTAGGTGCTGCCTCCGGGTTGGGAGTGAATCATCATCACCACTATCCCCAGGCAAGACCCACAGCGCCATCTGCCGGGCCCAGTTTCCCTCTCCTCGCTTGGAAAACGAGACACACAGAACTAACTTCCCATCGGCTCCTCTTTTAGGGACGGACCACTCAAGTACCTGGCTCATGAGAGGCGGCCCCTTCTCTCCCCCCCCCGCCACCT